GGAGGCCACGGAAACATCTAAACGAGGCATAATGCTCTAAGTTTGTGTAACAAAATCAAACATGCTGAAACACCACGAAGCCGAAGTAGCGGCGTCACACAAAAGAGATGCTACCGAACACACCGGTAGCCCAACACAACAGAAAATCAAACGAGAAAGTGCTTACCACATCAGCATATGAATCCTAGAAGGGTAAAGAGAGAAGAACAACACGTAGGAGGGGAAGCCGCACTAGAGCCAAGGTAGGGAAGGCCTAGTCAGCACCTAAGGAAGCTGCGGCAATGAGGAAAAGGGACTGCCGAGGGGTTGAGAAGGAAAATGAAAGACTTTTGGCTGGGTGGAGGGAAGAAGAAGGGATGTTGGGTGGCTGGGTAGGTGGTTTAGGGCTACCGACAATAGAAGACAAGGGTGGTGTGTGGCTAAGGTTTGGGTGGGTGGCTAGGGTTTGACTCTGACACCAAGAAGAGAGTTATAAAATATTGGCTTACCCTAATTTGGGTGAGACCACGTCTATATATAATCAATATAAGAAACATTAAAAAATGAATTAAATAATTACACAATCAAACTCTAAAATTAAATATATAATATTTCATATTCCAACATTCCAAATTCTAACCTGGACTTCACTAAGATATATTGCACTTGCAAGATGTGATTTTAAAAAGTAGATTAGTTTCCTAAATAATTTAAAAAGTGGATCAATTCTCTAAATTGTTTTTTTTTTAGAATATTTTAAAAAAAAATCATTAGACGAGATGACAAACACCATTTTGAGACAGAATATCTACTCCTAGGCATTGAAAAGATAACCAATTCACAAGTTTTAACATACAAAAATGCTATGGATCACGATTAGATATCCTAAAATGAGTTGTATTTTGTAGATTTAAAATTTATGTGATGTGGGTTCTATATAAAATGATTGTGATCTATAAATACATTTTTAATATTTTTTTAAATATCTTTTGAGTTTATAATATTACTGCTTAAAATATATAAAGCCATATCCTTTTAAAAAAAAAATTAAAGGGGCTAATACCCTACAAAAGGCATGGGAAAATTCTTGCACGCTTGTTGTCGGAATAGTTCATCATTTTCACTTTATTTATCTTTCTTTTTTTAGGCTTTGTTGTATTCCAATCTTGACATTCATTCTTTCATACTCAACACTTTATCATACGCAAAGGTTTTGGGCAATCTATATACTCTTTTTTTTTGTGTGTGTGTGTTAAAAGAGACACAAGATATATCTTTGTAAAAAAGAAAGAAAAAACAATAATAATTAGAAAGAAAAACTCTTCATTTTAAAGTGAATTAAGTTTACCAATGTTCCTAATGAATGTTTTAGTTTAAAGATAAGGCATCTCATTATATCATCATCTAATTTACATAAAAGAATTTTTGATTCAATTTTTTCGACTAGAATTGTTATTAGGCCTAATCTTGTTCAATATTTTCTCAATATCTTCTCCAAATTGTTCTATTTTTTGTATAGTTTTTCCCTTTCTTGTTTTAAAAAAATGAAATTCTTTGTCTTCGAAGATTGCCCCAAACCCTTTCGAGCAACCAACTGTTTTATTTAATTATTAGCAAGTAGGTTATACTTTTTCCTGAAGCATATAGGTGTGGAGTCTTTTCTCGTGTGGAAAGGTTTGTCGCTTACATCAGTCTGCCAAATGATTTTTCTTAGATCTGCAGATTGAAATAAGGGATATTGCAAAAAATTTGTGACAACCCTCGAAAAGCATAAAGCCATTCGATCTCTAGCATGCTTTTTCCTGAAGCATATAGGTGTGGAGTCTTTTCTCGTGTGGAAAGGTTTGTCGCTTACATCAGTCTGCCAAATGATTTTTCTTAGATCTGCAGATTGAAATAAGGGATATTGCAAAAAATTTGTGACAACCCTCGAAAAGCATAAAGCCATTCGATCTCTAGCATGCTTTTTCCTGAAGCATATAGGTGTGGAGTCTTTTCTCGTGTGGAAAGGTTTGTCGCTTACATCAGTCTGCCAAATGATTTTTCTTAGATCTGCAGATTGAAATAAGGGATATTGCAAAAAATTTGTGACAACCCTCGAAAAGCATAAAGCCATTCGATCTCTAGCATGCTTTTTCCTGAAGCATATAGGTGTGGAGTCTTTTCTCGTGTGGAAAGGTTTGTCGCTTACATCAGTCTGCCAAATGATTTTTCTTAGATCTGCAGATTGAAATAAGGGATATTGCAAAAAATTTGTGACAACCCTCGAAAAGCATAAAGCCACTGATGGTGGTCGATACGGTGGTAATGGCCCCTCAGATGGTGGTGGCACTAATGGCCCCTCCGATGCTGGCCGATGTGATGCCTCCTCTAATGGTGGTGCTACTGATGTCCTGTTATGTAGCACATCAGACATCATGCGCCGGGGATGATCAGGCTTCCTCTTCCTTCCCATAATAATCTGCAAGCAATATAACATTAATTGACATTAGAAACATAGACAATGGTTTGTCATCAACTATAATATGACATGAATTGAACTAATACAATTACAAAGACAAAGTAAATTAAGAAATTGATGATTAACTACAACCTTGGCCTTAATTGAATTACTAATGTTGATTACATATCAGCCTATTTGAACAACAACTGTTTCCCCTTCTGCGGCTTCCCTCACCCAACCAACTTCTTCATCACGAAGCATTATATTTTCTTCCAATTGTTGGCTCATGTATGGCTCGATTTGTGGATCAGTAATAGTTGAGTAAATAATACTAGAGAGGATGGAGAGAGAGAGAAAGATGGATATTTAGAGAGAGAAAGAGAGACAGTGAAGCTCACCTTCGTTGGTGCTCGCTACCTCGATTTGAGAATGAACAAGTGGTGGAGCTTCGAAATCGCTCTCACAGAGAGAGAGAGAGAGAGAGAGAGCTCGATTTGGGTCATACGCGAATTTCAGATTCAAAATTAGGGTTGGATAAGAAGGGGAGACCCAGCGCGTGAGGCACAACGCAATTGGAGGCGCTTTTAAACGCCTCTTATTGTAAAACGATGTCGTTTTATTAAATAAATATGCGACGTTTTGTAAAACGTCGTTAAATATAAAAAATAGTGACGTTTAAAAATGCGTCGTTAAAAAAACGCCATCTAAACTCTTTTTTCTTGTAGTGAGAGAATTTGTTTGATTACAAAAATCAAACTTGAAATATAATAACGGTTCCGATTCGTAGCTCGAATTTTTCGGGGCTCGAGTGGCTCGAAATTCCAAAACAACGTCGTTTTAAGATGTTTTTTGATTCTCTTACCGGTAAGATAATATTTTTCGTACCATTCGCGCCATTCGAGCCTCACTTTCTCGAGCTACGGAGCATTTTCCATAATAAAAATAAATAAATAAAAACAGATTTTATTTTGTTACAAGAACAAAATTTAAATCTGATTTTAATAAATAAAAACAACACTGAAAATAAATTAAATAACTTACTTGATTTAATTTGTTCGAATTATTTTCTGATCAAGTCCAGTGTTTGACACTGTGTCCTTAAGACAGATTCGTCCTCTCCACGGTGCTTTCAGAATTTGGACGTCTATCTCCTAGGATGAAATGATCTTACCACAAACAATAGCAGCACTGCAAATTGTTTGCCTTACGAACACACTAAGTGTTTACGCTCTTTCTTTCAGAAATAAAATGCAGCAAGATGAAGAATATAATTAGCAGAGGTGAAATACGAAATTTCTGAATTAATAACATCAAATGAGGGTGGTCCTATTTATAGATGTAAATGTGGCTCTTGGTTCTAAATTGAACAGGTATGATACCTGTTGGTTTTGAATTCAAACAGATTTGAATCTGTTAACAATTCAAACAGATAGCAAAAACGGGAAGGGTCCCGTTTGGGTGTGCACTAATTCCAAACTAGTTTATTTCTGTTTGAAAACGGGAAGGGCCCTGTTTGGATGTACAGAAAATCCAAATCAGTTTAATTTGAATTCTGGATTTTATTTTACCAAAAAATAAAATTAAATTCAAATGTTTTTGGCCCAAAAAGATTAGAAGCCCAACCACACACCACCGCCCAAGCCCAGCGCACGTGTGTGGTGATTTTTGGGTCCAATGGGTCTAGCCCATTTTGCCCATAACATCTCCCTCTAAAACACTTGGGTACCCCTTGGGGCACACCCCAAGTATCTCACTCAAGCTTTATAAACCCTTTCAAAACTTCCCATCAAATCAATGTGGGACAAGCCAATTTACAACCTTTAAGGAATTTTCACCAAAACTCCATTTCCATGGAGCATACTTTGGCTTCAATTTCCCATTCACTCGGTAATGGTTTTGAGCAACCAAATATATCACGTGAATTACAACGCGACATAGAACGCGTTACCACTTTGACCCGAGTAAATCGACACTCGGGGCCCACCTAAAAAAAGAACAAACTAGGAAAAAAATTCTAATTTTACCCAGAATTTTTCTACCATTTCTAACATATATTACACTGATGATCTTTATAATTGATTTTAAATTTTACTTTAGTTTCCCGTATTTTTTTATTTTAAATTCAAATAAAATTAAAAATATATTAACCAAAACCCCATGTTATTGGGTAAAAATTGAAAAACTTCTAAAGCCACTACCTACCAACTGAAAAAAAAATAATGATAGAGATACGAATTCATTTGAAAATATATTGAAAAATAATTGGGTTCTACCTACGGACTTGGGTTATTTTATTTTTCTAATTTATATGTTGTTTTCGAGGGACCGGAAACCAATAAAAGAAACGCCATTTTTGACTTTATTCTCAGCACTCCTTTCTTGGCTGAATAATAACTTTATTCACAGCCCTCAATAATTTATGAAAAATACTATGAATTCTAAATAAATTATCAAATTTTCTCTTAAAGATAAAGATGAGATCCACACAAATCAAATGTCCCACAGTCATGTGAAAAATTTGATAAAAAATTTAATAATTTGTTTAGATACCTAGCATAACTCATAATTTATTCGCAGAGGGACGGTTTACTCTCACTCAATAATATAATATTTGATTCTTTCTACTGACGATAATGTTTGACCTTATTCTCAGCTCTCAATAATTTCTTCTTCTCACTGGAAAAAAAGTAAACCTCTTTGCTTTGCTTCTGATCTGTCGGTTTTTTTTCTTTTCCTTCTGTAATTGGAAACAATGCCTATAGCAGAGATCTTTCTCTCTGGCTTCGTCAAATTGTTGTTTGAGAAGATGTCCTCCTTTGCGTCCTCCAAACTACCCTCCTTTGAAGGTATTGGTGCCCAGCTCACCAATTGGACCAATATGCTGTCTCAAATTGAAGCTCTTTTGATTGACGCGGAGGAGAAGCAAATGACAGATCGAGCCGTGAACTTGTGGCTCGATGATCTCCAAGATCTGGCATATGATTTGGATGATGTCGTGGATGAGTTCGCCACCGAAGCTTTGCGACAGAGTCTCAAGGCAAAGCCGCCCCAAGCTAGTTCCAGCAAGGTATGGAATCCCATCCCTAATTTCAAGCCAGGACATGTTATGTTTAATTTCAAAATGAGGTCCAAGATTGAGGAGATCACTACCAGATTACGCACTAGTTTTGAACAATGTTCGAAACTTAATTTGGTTAAGATTGTTGGAACCACCACACCTACTAAGACTTGGCAAAGACCAGAGTCTACGTCGTTATTAAAAGAACCTCGCGTTTATGGAAGAGAAAAGGATCAAAGAAAGATAATTGAGTTGCTTGTAGGTGGGGGTGAATCAAGTCGTAACAAAGTTGACGTAATTCCCGTTGTGGGTATGGGTGGGATTGGCAAGACCACCCTGGCTCAGATGGTATACAACGATGAAATCGTGAAGAACCATTTCGATCTGAAAGCCTGGGTTTGTGTGTCAGATGAGTTTGACATTCTGAAAATAACAAAAGCAATTTATGATTCAGTCACTTCCCAGACATGTAGTTCTGATAACTTGGATCAAGCTCAAGTTCAACTAAAGCAGGCTTTGGCCGGAAAGAAGTTCTTTATTGTTTTAGATGATGTCTGGAACAAAAAATACAATGACTGGAATGATTTGAACAGCCCTTTCAAGGATGGAGCTCAAGGAAGTAAAGTCGTGGTGACTACGCGTAGCAGAGACGTTGCAAGAATGATGGCAACTGTTGAACTTCATGACGTTGAGATCCTTTCAGATGAAGATTGTTGGTCATTGTTTGCACAACATGCCTTTGAGAATAGAAGTATTGATGCAAATCCAAATTTGGTATCAATAGGTAAGAAAATTGTGGAGAAATGCAAAGGTTTGCCTTTGGCTGCTAAGACACTTAGTGGCCTTTTACGTTGCAAAGAACGAGATGAGGAATGGGTAGATGTATTGCGTAGTAAAATATGGGATTTATCACACGCAGAAAGTGACATCCTTCCAGCTTTGAGATTAAGTTACCATCATCTCCCTTCGCATTTGAAGCAGTGTTTTGCATACTGCTCAATAATACCCAACGACTATGAATTTGAGGAAGAAGAGATAGTTTTGTTGTGGATGGCAGAGGGTTTCATTCTGCAAAAAGGAGAGAAGCAAATGGAAGATGTAGGAGGTGATTACTTTCGGGAATTGTTGTCAAGGTCTTTTTTCCAACCATCAAGTATTGGTAAAGGCTCTAAATTTGTGATGCACGACCTCATCAATGATTTGGCTCATGTAGTTGCAAGAGATACTTGTTTTAGATTGGATGATAAATTGAAAGATCAGGAGCAGTACAGGAATCTAAAGAAAGCGCGACATTCATCTTACATGCAGGAGATCTATGAGGGTATGAAAAAATTTGAGATCTTTGACGAAGCCATGCATTTACGGACCTTCTTACCATTTAGCTCAAAACATTGGAATTATTATTTGGCAAGCAATGTTCCCCTTAATCTATTGCCGAAGCTAAGGCGCTTGCGGGTGCTCAATATGAGTAGATATCGCATCACCGAAGTTCCAAATTCGGTTGGAGATTTGAAACATCTGCGGTATCTTAACCTATCCAACACCTACATTGAAGAATTACCTGAATCATTAGGCTCTCTTTACAATCTACAAACATTGATGTTAAGAGGATGTGAAAAATTGAAAAAGTTGCCAACGGACTTGGGAAGCCTAATTGACCTACGTCATCTTGATACTACAAATGCATATCACTTAGAAGAAATGCCATTGGGAATAGGTAAGTTGGCTAGTCTTCAAACACTGTCCAATTTTATTGTTACTAAAAACAGTGGGCATCGGTTAAGAGAGTTGGGGAACTTAATTTATCTTCGCGGGAAACTTTGCCTATCTGGGTTACAGAATGTAGTGGTTCCATTAGATGCAAGGGAGGCGAATTTAAATGATAAGAAAGGGTTAGATGTGTTATCAATGGAATGGAGTGTTAACTCAGATGATTCACGAGATATAAGAGTTGAAACAGAAGTGCTTAATATGCTACAACCTCACAAGAATTTAAAAGAGCTGCATATCATAGGCTACCTTGGTACAGGATTTCCGACTTGGATAGGAGATCCTCTGTTCTCCAATATGGCTGACATAAGTTTAGATAATTGTGGAAATTGTGCATCCTTGCCACCACTCGGACAACTACCCTCCCTTAAAAAGCTTTACATTACAGGTATGAGTGCACTAAAGCATGTTGGCTGTGAGTTCTACGGGCAAGGTGGCGTTCAACCTTTTCCGTTACTAGAGACTCTAAGCTTTGCGAATATGCCAAAATGGGAGGATTGTTATACTTTTGGAGATCACAACGAAGTTCAACCATTCACTTGTGTCAAGTCTCTCTCCATAATAAATTGTCCCAAACTTCTTAAAATGTTGCCTACTGATCTACCTTCTTTGAATAATCTAGAGATTAGGGACTGCCCCAAACTCTGCGGAATGACGCCCAAGGATCTACCTTGTTTGAATAATCTAAAGATTTCAGAGTGCCCGCAATTCCTAGTTGAAGGTTCCAGCATTAGCCTTCCGTCACTCACCTCGATAGCTATGAATGACGTTCCTCTAACAAGCCTTCAAGCGGTCCTTGAGATGAGGAGCATGGTTGATGACGAACTGATATCAGCAAATGCAAAGTCTAAGCATCCGAGTTCAATAACTTCCTTGAGCATTGGGATGATTAAGAAACTTGAGCTCTTGCCGAAATGGGTTACTCATGGGATGATGGAACTCGAAGCATTGGAGATCACATGCTGTGAAGAACTCAAGACATTGTGGAAGAACGAGGATGAAGAAGATGAGGATGAAGACAACAAAGGGCAACATGAGCAGCAGCAGCAGCAACAAGAGGGACTCCCCTGCATAGTGAGGAGGCTTGAGCATCTAACAATAGATAATTGTGAAAAGCTGGAGAAACTGCCACGGCTGCTACATAGCTTCACTTTTCTTGGAGAGTTGTATGTCTATAAGTGTCCGAGTCTCAGCTCTTTTCCGGAGACAGGTTTTCCGTGCACGCTGAAAACACTCAAGGTACGTGATTGTGAGGCTCTGCAATCCTTATTCGGGTGTTTAACACAGATTAATGACAGTAATCTTCAAGTGTTAGTTGTTCAAGATTGTCCATCCCTCACATGCTTGATATCGTGCAGAGGTGGGGGGCTACCACCCACACTCGAACAGCTTCAGATTTGGGGGTGTAAAAAGTTGGAGGCACTGCTAGTAGTAGATGAGGGGATGGAAATTACCTGTCCATCTCTTGAGATTGTTTTCATCAGGGATTGTGATAGGCTCAAATACTTGCCAGATGCCCTTCCTAATAATAATAATAATCTCAGGAATCTCAGTGGATTGTACTTGTATGGGTGTAAGAATTTGGAGTACATTCCGGAAGGATGGTTCCACTCCGCAACAAATCTGGCACATTTGGATATCAGGGGATGCAAAAAACTCGAGGCCCTACCACACGGATTGCAGAGCATCACCTACCTCACTTCTCTTCAATTACTGTGGATGGATATTCCACATTGGAACAATAACTTCAAGAAGATTGGTTTGCACAGTTTATCCTCTCTTAGAACACTGTTGATTGAAGGCCCAATTAGTGTGGCAGAGGATGAAGAAGAAGAAGAAGAAGGTGTAGCGGGGTCCAGCTTTCCAATAGATGGGAAGTTGCTGCCCACCTCTCTGATCAATCTTTGGATCAGGGATTTACGAAATCTGGAGAAGCTATCTTCTAAGTTGTTTCAAAACCTCGCCTCTCTTGAATCTCTTGAAATCTGGGGTTGCCCTAGGCTCAAATCTTTACCAGTGCAAAGGCTGCCTCCCTCACTTAAGATATTGTATATCAGTGGAAGTCGGAAACTAACAAGGAAGTGTGAAAAGGGGAAAGGCAAGTATTGGCCCCACTTAACTCACATACCTCAAGTCGATGTTTATGATTAAGCTCTGTTGTGGAGATTCCCACCGCAGTTTTACAAGCACTCAAATTGCCAGGTATCAAAACTTAAACTAATTTTATAAATATCAACATTAAAAAAATATTTTCAGATTTTAAAAACAAAAAATCATATGAAAAACAGTGTGCTTTTCAATTTTTTTTTTTACTTTTACAGATTTTAAAAAACTTAATCAAACAAGCTAATTGATAGTAAAGATTTCTAACATTGCTAATTTTTAATGTCTTTTTGCTTATTGATTTTCAATTTTTTTTTGAATGAGGAATCGCTGAAGTATGCAGTACATCATATTTTCAAGTTAATTGAATTTTTTTGGATGAGCAAGTTATTTGCAAATTCATATAAAAATTTAAAATAAAATGAATTTGTATTATCAATTAATAAAAAACATTTTTTAAAATAATGAAAAAAATATGTTAAATTTAAATTCGAATGACCATTATGGAATGAGTGAATAATTTTTAAAATTTTGTTTGGTTTTGGAGTTTTCAAAAATAGTTTTAAAATTTTTAATTCGTATGTTTTTAATATATTGGCTAATTTGTTTTATTTTTTTATTTTTTAGATGCATCTAATCTACATATACTTAAAAAAAATTAAAAAATCTTTAAAAAAATTTAATAAATACAAAATACATACAAAAATGTATTAAATTTGTATATTTATTAATATTTAGTGATTTTTTAAACACTTTTTTTCATAAATTTTATACGTTTTAGGTGTATTTAGATTGAGTGGATCTAAAAACTTGAAAAACCTTGATTAAATACTTAAAAAGTTCACTAAAAATAATAAAATTCGGATTGAAACTTAAAAATTATTTTTGAAAACTCCAAAACCAAACAGATTTGTAAAAATTATTTTAGATTCTGAAAACTAAATGAGTTTTGGATTTTTAAATTTCTGAAAACTATTTTTAGAATATACAGTCAAACAAATTTTTAAAAAATTATCTTTCAAAATTGATTATGAAAACCAAACCTTAGTTTTTGGGTTTTCTGGGCTAGTCATTAATAAAATGTTTTTGCATTTGTTAAGTTGTTGCCTATATAGTGAACGGGGAAAGTCAGATTGAAAGTGATTAAGCTGGTACAAATTCTTGTTGAAGGGAGAATTTTTTGGCCAGAAAAAAGAATAGCCAAAATGTGCCATACAAACACTTCTTCTCTTCTATTCATCAGCATATCCCAAAGACTTGAAGCATTTTCAGACATTACATCAGATTCTTTACCATGAAAATGGCAATGATCCTAGTCCTTGTCTTCGCCCTCTTTCTCCAAGGAGCTCTTGGTTAGTGCAGATGCGGCTAAACTTTTTTTGGGTTCAAGGCAAAAAAAATCCAAATGAGGGTTTTTAAAAAAAAAAATATCTTATAAAACATTCATTTTTTTTATACTTTTTGTGGATGTAAAATTACTAATTCTATTTTTTTTTAAAAATTTAACATGTCCTTTTCAATTAACATTATGACTAATCAACTTAATCTTTTTTCTTGTGACATTTTGATTTTTATTTTTACAAAGACTACTGTTACAACTATGTAACTACAAGTTCTATTCAATTTTTTGTATTCTACACATTCAATCCAAAGGAATTACCCCTCCAACAACCACACTCGTGTCACTTTAGTCATTGAAGTATCAATTTGAACAATTATCCCTCAAACTATTGATATTATTAGTTCACTTTATCTGAAATTGTCAACAAAGTAAATTATTTTAACAGAATATCACATTTGTCATAAATCTTCATTTATATTCTATGCAGGTGACATTGTATGTGAGGAGTTGTCCGTTGGATTGTGCTCTTTCTCAGTCGCGTCTACTGGGAAGCGATGCTCGTTGGAGACTTACACTGCGAGTGAAGGAACTGTGGCATACCAATGCAAGACATCAGAGGTGGTTGTGAAGAACATGCCCGAATGGATTGAGAGCGATGTCTGCATTAGTGCTTGTGGTGTTGATAGATATGCCATTGGCATCTCATCTGATGCCCTCCTCGAGTCCCAATTCACCGCTAAGCTTTGCTCGCCAGGTTGTTACTACAGTTGCCCCAACATTGTTGATCTCTACTACAATTTAGCCCTCGGAGAAGGTGATAATCAAAATTTTTATTTGATTAAGCATAGAAACATAAATGTTTTTGAAAACGTTTTGGATTTTTGTGAAAGGGAAAGCATTTCAATCTAGGCATATATATCTACAATCGATTTGTTGTTTTGATTAGCATGAAAGTGGAAAACATTTTGAAAATATTTCAGGAGCAACAAAAGAATTTGAAAATACATAGAAATTTTTGAAATATAGATTGAAATATATCTAAATGTATAAAAGCCTAATAATTGATTAATTAAACAAATTGAGATTCATATAGTCATTCACGTAAAAGAATTAAAAAACTAATGTTACTATGAACTAAAAATTATTAAGTATTGTCAAATAACTCAATTTTATTATACAAAAGTTTGCAATAAGGTCTAAAAATTTACTGAAACAGTAGTAATAAATGTTTATGAAAATTTCTAAATTTGTATAGATACAATTTACTCTTTCTGTATATCACACTATGTTTTGGTGTGTTTCATTATGTTTTGATGTGTTTCAATGAAAACACTAGAATTTTATTATTCCATTAGTGTTTTGTTTCGGTCTCTTGGGAAATGGCAACATTTCGGCCATTTCAATGGAAACAAACGAAAATTTTGTTCCTCATATATATTAAAGATAAATCCATGTCAAAAGGTTTTTCATTCATGTGTTGTCTACGTTTTTCATGTTATTTGGTTCCAAACAAATGGCATATGGTACCTATTAAAATTGGGTGTAACTGCACATGCAACATCCCTCGTGTCTTCTATGTGCACTATGTTAACTTATTACAATTGGAGGAATAGTTTCCTATTGTCTGTCTTTAATTTGGGAAATTTGTCCCTTTTGTATTCTTTTAGTAGCTGTTGGTGTATTGCCTTATTCTTAGGGGCCGAGCCATGTATAACAAAGTTGGGTCAAGTGACCCCACTAGAAATTTGTAAATCTGAAATTATTATTCAGACTTTTTGAAAATTTTATTTTAAATGAGGTCAATCTTGTACACTAAAAAATATGAACTAATTTCATAAAGCATAGAGATTAATATATAATCATGTTACCCTTTTTTTCCTTCTAATATTTTAGTTATTCTTTTTCATTTTCTTCTTTCTTTGAATTCTTTTGTAGATGTTCACGTGTTACCTGCCTTATACATCACTATTATCCAATGTCCAAGGAGATGATTATGGCATTATGTGACAGTTTAGGAGAGGATTTGTACTTATATTTAAAAAAGGGGAAAAAAAAGAGGAGAACTTGTGGCATTAAAAAGGAATTGTCAACAAACACAGTGGGTGTTGTTTTCTTCAACTAAATTAACTAAACAAACCTTATGTTCAAAGGATATATCTGAATTAAATTTGTTCAAAATTTTAGTGAAGGGAAATATTATACATTTATGATTTATGGAATCAATTGTTTAACCTTATTAGCATTTATGGAATTTTAGTATTAGTGATGCAAGCGGTCATTTATTAGATTTTTGTAAAAATTAACTATTGTGGTTTTTGCTTTCATTATGGTATTTGTAATTTGGAAACTATAAATTACTTGATCTAGTTTTGTGTATTACACAAGTTTATCAGTGTACATTATGTATAATTGAAGGCTGATATTGGTGGTGAATTGTTTAATGGACGTTTTTGGCTCCGCAATGGTTGATTCTTAGAACTAATATGGAGAAGAATCCTATTTTTGTGAACTTGATGATTATCTAACAGTACACTCCATTTTGGATTTGTCTTGATTTGCCACTTGAGCTGCCTTGAGTATATATATCATTCTCTCTAAGTTATTTGTGGATATTGAGTTTTTAATCTATAAATTCATCCCTGATGGATAAATGCAGACTAGCCATGCTATAACTACCTCTCTTAATGTTACACATGAAGAAGTTATTGAAACTGAATGGTTTTCATTGGATTGAAAACTCGGAGATACAGTACGTTATATACACTCCACATGTTTACAAAATATCTAACGAAAATATCTACCTAACTCACTCTGTTACAACAAGTTGAACTAACACTTGACTTGTTTGGTTTGCAGGACAACGTATCTCTAGTCTGGTCTTTGTGTGACTTTATATTAAAAATTATGATGTAGGAATGTTTAGTGACTCTGAAATGGGTTTTGGCAGAACTACTAAAGTCCTTGCTGATGAAAGCAACAATATAAATTGTTAGGTTTTTATTCTTGGCAATCCCGTTTAACAAAACTCCTTTCAGTTGTATTTGTTTTTGCATTTTTATTTCCGTGAGACTATGAGTTTATTAGATGCGAATCCAACCCGAATCGTGCCTTGCAGAGAAGTTTGTGATGTTAATGCTTTCAAGATTGCCATTTCGCTGATTATGACGGGGGTCGAGCTGCTCGCCCCCGAAGCAAAATGCAAAAGTGCATTCAAAGTTGCTTGTCCGCTCGAGCGGAGAATGCTGAGTTCCAGAAGTTTGGTGAGTCTGCAAATATACTGTGATCCGTGTTTTCACGCTCGAGCATCCATTTCCCCGCTCGAGCGTACACCCTAGTGCGGAACACGCCATATAGTGTCCCCGCTCAAGCGTCCATTCCCACGCTCGAGCGGACCTCTTGATTTCAGATTCTATAAATTCGCAAGTTGCTCCAAATCTAGGATTACTCCTCCAAATCTTCTTCTTGGATAGTAAGGTTTATATCAAGGGATATTTTGCTGTTTTTCTTTGATGTTTAATTGAGTATTCAACTCATGGGTTAAGAAGAATACATCAAATTTTTGTTTATTCATTCTATACAAAAGAGAGAGTCGTTCTTCGGTGGATTCTGAAGAATTCGAGCCTGAAGCTTTGGTGGATTGTGGAGTGGCTCATCGTCAAGACAATTCCGAGGTGAAGACGGGGTTGGAAGAGGCACATAGGGGTTGGTTCAATTCGGGCGTAGATTCGCTAGGTAATTGAGAGTATACCTGTGTAATTCCTTTATATCTTCTTAGTGGATTGTTTTGTGGCTGTTGCCCGTGGTTTTTTTTATCACAATTGGAGGTGCTCCAATTGTGGTTTTTTCACGTAAAATCGTTGTGTCGATTTGTCTTGATTGTTTGATTGGGATTGTTGTTTACTGCTTAAAATTGATACATAATCACAAATCAACATCTAGGAGATTTCTAGATTTTTCACAAATTTTTTTGAAAAAGATTATATAATCAAACTAATATAGAAGTGGATGTAGCACTTTGTATATTTTTCATTTCTCTTAACTTAAATTCAACTAGAAGACATTAAATCCTAATAGAATTAAGCACTTCATTTTGTTGAGGGTGCTAATTGAAGCTCCAGAGGTGCTTTTGAAAGATAATCATAATTAATACTTAGAATCAACTTTAACATGGATAAAACTCCTAAGATTTAATTATTTAATTGTACTCTGTATGGTGTGAATTCAGATTTAGATCCAACAGAACTGGAAGTAAAGTCTAACAAAACTAGAGATGAAAATAAGAATCACCTCATTAGATATGTACCTACACATATATCTTTGTTTTTTGGGATGACCTTACCTAAACAAACTAGAAACGATAATGCACTAGAAATAGAAACCACAGAATTATGGAAACAATCATGTGGTCATCTGACTGTACATAAGTGTACATATAAAGCCCAAGAGTGTCTAGTTATTACAACCAAAGTATTATCATTCAAATGGAGTTGTATATTATTTATCAAAAAATAAAATAAAATAAATGGAGTTGTACAAAAAGGCTATACCTCCATGTGTTGTAATATTGATTTCCATTTAAATTCCATCATCACGAAAGGTTTCAAGTCCAATCTTTTCTTGTTTACAATTGTTTCTTGACAATTATTTTCATAATTTTCTCATTTTGTGAGAAAGATGTCATGAACCTCTCAGATTTGAAAATAGTGACTATTTACTTGTATGAAGTAGGATTTCCCTTGTTAAATTTCATTACTTACACCTTAGGTTGGACGTCCAACAACTTTAAACATTGAAGTTCATTCATGCTTATCCATTCCTAACATTCATTTATGCTGAATGTACTCTATGTCGTTCTCCATATTTTCTAGTCTTTAAGCAGAGTAAGTAGACTACATAACTGCTTGTAAACCCATTTTTTCCGACAAACTTCGTGAGGATTTATATTTCACGTGATTTTACTTTGACAGATTTGGGACTTCAGCAACCTTGGTTGGAAGGAGAGGAGTATCTATCAATTGTTGATGAATTTATGGAGGCAATTCACACTCGATGGCCCAAGGCTATTGTGCAGGTTTAGTTATTTCAGAAATATGACATCTTGTTTGATGTGTAACCAATATCATACTGATTACTTGATGTTTGGTGAATATTATCAGTTTGAGGATTTTCAAATGAAGTGGGCTTTTGAAAGACTGCAACGGTATCAAAAAAGGTTCTGCATGTTCAATAATGACATACAGGTGAATACTTGGTGTTGTATTCTGCTATTCTCCATGGCAAAGTACTTTAAGATTGTTAAGGGTGACTCTATTATAATGACATTTTTGTCACTTGTCATCATGTTGTATAGGGAACTGCTGGTGTTGCACTAGCAGGACTACTTGGAACTGTAAGGGCACAAGATCTGTAACGCCCTCAAATTAAACCCATTATATGTATATCATTGACATGCATTATTTAAAGAAAACAGTTTATTCATTCATTCATCAGAGTATTACTAAATAAAAACATTACATGTAACATCAAATTAAATGCCCTATGGGCTTACATCTTTCCAAGCCAACCCTTGGACATGAAAATATGAGTTCTAACTCAAATACAAATAAAGCCCTAGGCTTGATTATTTAACAAATAAAAACAAACAACCAAAGATATTCTTCAAAATCCAAATCCTTCCAAGCTAAGTCCTGGGAGGTAGCTTATCACCTGGACCTGAAAATGATGTTCCCATAAAGGGTGAGCCACAGCCCAGTAGAAATATACTAAACCAAATATAAGCATTGAATAAAGCATTAGTATTTAATAGATGGTTAACCAAGATAATCAATTACATCATTACACAGTCTCATGACACTAATGTCTAAAACACGTTTTACTTTCCAACATTAATAATATGGCTCAGAACCTGGCCAAACTTACAACAGTGAACTATATATACATCATATTCACATTCTTCCAATGTCAACAAACAATTGAGACTCAGGCTCAAATCAAACACTTCATACTTCCAGTTTGATACATTATTTTAGTGCTGTATCAATAAAACACTTCAATAAAAATAAGCACACATAAAAGTAGTGCTAATGGAGTCCATCCCCTATCTCCTCCCAAACAAAATCCGATTTAGAGGTCCATCCCCTATCTTCCCCTAACCGTGGAGTACCCTCCCTATCTCCTCCCACACAAAACAATGTATGCAAACACATAACATATACAACACACAATCAATACACACAATGTCTGTATTAATTCAGCAGTCAAAATTGATGACTTAATCAATGATTAGTTTCAGTTATCCCTAATCCACATGCAGTGTCTACAACAAGCACGACTATCCTCCACCGATAGCCCAAAACAGTTATTTCTAGACTTGGAAAATAAATATACCAACAATTCAATAGGCGAGTGATTTACATTATCCACACCATTAAATCAATAAATTCCTCAATTTCATGAATTTAACCAAATTCCCCAATTCCCTTAAATTAATTATACAAATTAATTAATACAACTAGGTTTTTTTTCCCAAAATTATCAAAGTAACCCCAACATATCAATTTACCAAAACTTAGAACAAAACTTATAAAATAGAGTAGGAAATCCCTACCTCGAAGATATAACCCGTATGGAGAAGATGGAGATGAAGACCAAAGACCAACGTGCTCCAAATCCCAAGTTTCTCAGATTAAAACGAAGCCCTCAACCCACTCTAACTTTTTAATAAAAGACCTAGGTTAGATACTCACCCTAGGTAGATCAATTCTAAGAGAGAAGACAAGTTTAGAGAGAGAGAAAGAGAAAGAAACCCTCAAGGGCGGTTTTTAAAAGTTAAGAAGGAAAAAGTAGGTCAAAAAGTGATTCAAAAAGTGAAATCACGGACTGATGTAATCGACTCTCCGCTCGACGACGTAATCCCCGCTCGAGCGTAAGACACAGACTCACGCTCGAGCGTGAAGAAAGCCGCTCGAGCGTCGATTGCACACTTCCAGAAGTTTTGCAGGCGCTGGCACCGCTCGAGCGTCAAACTGTCCGCTCGAGCGGAGGGACAAATCAAGGGATCACGTCGAGCGTAAAAAGAATACCGCTCGAGCGGACGAACTGCAGAATAAAGTATTGGAGATGGAAAATCACGCTCGAGCGTCAAAACTACCGCTCGAGCAGAGACACAACAACGAGGGCCCGCTCGAGCGTTAAAACTTCCGCTCGAGCGTGAAGGCCAAAAACGGGCATCACCTATTGGCATCTAAATTCAACCAACCTGTAACAGACCCGCCCAACACAACCAATACTTCAAAAACAAGAGATTAAGGACAACAACAATCAATAAATGATGACAGGATCCACAGAACCTAATCCGGATACAATAATCTAAAGAGAAAAGACGGGGTCGCTATAAGATCTTTGACTGACTTTGTGAACCAAAAGATAGTTGTAGTTGGAGTCGGAAGGTACTGATGAAGTTCAATTGTAATGGCTGTACTCCTGGTTTAAGTGTTACTTCTTTATGGTTTAGGGTGGTTGGTAATATCAGCTGTGAGTTGCGTCTTCTTATTCTTTTTCTGTCTTTCAGTGCAGGGCTTGGTGTTTTTAACATGGTTGCACAAGGCTGTTTCAAGAATGGCAGAGCTGGAGCAAATCCTTTCTTTTCCTACTTGATAAAGATGTGTGGTTCTACAGATATTACTTGCTCTCTAACTTTTTTGTTCTAATGTCAATTACCGTATTAGCCTTTATTATGTGTTACTGGGTATTTATCTTGTAATAAAATGTGTAGAACATATATTTTGAACATATTTGTAAAGGAGATTTTTATTTTTTTTTTTTTTTTTTTTTAGTGTTATCAACTGAATTTCACCATTTTTTTCAAAGTAATGATAATCAATTACTTATCTGCATGTAACTGAATGAATTGTGGGAATAAACCTGCATTGGAATGAAGAAGGAACTCATAATATCATCTGAACTTTATCGTTTCATTTACATTTTCAGGGAATCATCCATTTGACTTTTGGTTCATCTTTTTTTGATAAACTGGTTTAAATGCAGGGTCTCATTACAACAGAACGGAAGGGTGTTGATCCAGCAGCTGCACCATTTGCTAAAGCCCTTGGGAGATCGAGGGTTTGGGACTTGAGGAGGGAGCAAATCTCGTTAAAGTGGTAAATCTTACTGGAGTGTTTTTTGGCAGCCTATGTTGATGCAAGCTGATATAGATTGATATTGTGTGGAAGAAACCTTCGGTTGTTTAGCTTGCTTCTTGGGTACGTGCAATTGGATCATGGATGTTGCTGTTATCTTTCAGAACCTTGTGTATGCTTTCATAATTTAGAAAAACTAATTGCAGGGAATGGATTTTGTTTAGGTTAAAAAGCAATCGCCTCATATACTTCTGGTTTGTCTGGAGTTGGTGGTGTCTTCAATGAGCAGGTGGGCAAGTTTGCTTTGTCCTTCATTACTTTCAAATGAAGCATAATGAATTAGTGAAGTTGGCTTAGTTTTATTTGGAAGGCATGTTGTTCTGTACTATTTATTTGGTTAGTTGTTGAATAATGGTATTAGTTGGGGAAAATACATCAAATACCACAACACCCCCCCCCCCGGCGGCGCGGTGGGAACTCAAGTTTGTTTGTTCTTGTTTCCTAGATGTAGGCAATACCTTGTAAAGATGGTCTTCATTAACCCTATTATCATTTTACTTTTTCCCAACTTCCGCTAATATCAATTCTTACTAAAAACTTACAATTATTTATTATTAGCACAAAGGAGCATACCTCATCAAGATGTCATTTGTTGTCATCATTTCAGTAATCACCACTTGGCTCAACTCAACAAAGACCTAATTTCAACCTCTTGGAATTGACTACATGAATATTTTCCCAAAATGCTCTCTATAGAACAATACCTCAGTTAAATCCATGGCAATTACATTCTTTGTTACTGTATCACCCTCGTTCTTTTTTAATTATCTTCTTGTGTTTAACGACACTTTTGTTTACTCTACTTTTGTGGGTGTTTTTTCCTCAATTTACTAATCATTTCATCACAGATTTTGGCTTTTTTTTATAATTAAATTACCATTGCTGTATAGGTAGATCTCGTTCTGAAATACCTACTACTTGATAAGTAACTATGGCTGGCTATGTTTGAAAAACCATTCTCCACTTAGTGTCTAGCTGCAAGGCACTAAGCACAACAATGGCAAAGTGTATCCTCTTTTTGAGATTGGTAAAGCGTATGTCTTCTTTGATAAATCAGGTGCTTAAGGCCATGCGAGAGTCAGATTCCCCTAAACTTGCCATTTTTGCGATGTCAAATCTGACGGTGAATGGTTCGTCTTTCAAGCCTTCTAAATTATCTATTTTTTGTTTGTGGATGCACTATTTTTCTATTGAACATTGTCTTTCCATGTTAACTGGAACAGCTGAATGCACTGTAGTTGATGCTTTCAATCATGGTGGAGAAAATATAGGGCTTGTTTGGTTTGTATCTCAAGATACAATTTTTGAGAAAAATATTTAAAATTTTGTTTGATTCAATTTTTTGAATTTTTTTTTTCAAAATCACTCTCTCTCTCTCTCTCCAACACATCAGTCTATCACTTTTCTCTCTCCTCTCTCATTGTCAATCACTTTTTCTCTCACACATATCTATATTCAACTACAACAAAATATCAAATCATCCCAAACTCCAAAATTATTTTCAAAATATCCAGCCAAACAAATCAAAAAAATTTCCAAACTCTCTCTCCAAATTTTTTTTTTTTGAAAATTTATCTCAAAAATGTTGACCTTGGTATGATTTCTTTATATTGGTGCTAATTGTTGTGGAGTCTTTTTGCACAGTATCAATAAATTAATTGGTCTCACTCTGCTCTCTCATTATGTAGCCAATGCAACCAACAGTTCTATAGTTTCTATATTCCTGTCTTCCTCAGTGTGTTGTCCAATTACTCTGACCTTTGCCAATCATATACTTGTTGTCAGGGAATGGAAAAGTGGGTCATGTAAATCAAGCAAATAACATGTATCTGTTTCCTGGGTTAGTGCTAATGTTCACGTCACTGATATATTGTGCTTAGTTTTTTATGACTACTATCGTAAACCTTTTTGACTTGATTCAGGATTGGAATGGGAAGCTCTTCTCTCAGGTGCTCGTTTGATTTTAGATGGAATGTAGCAAGCAGCTTCTGAATGGTATATATTACACACTTTGACCACTTCGTTCTTTGTTCTAACATAGCCTTTTATGGATTAGTGTCGTGCTCATCCATTCTTATTGGACTGTTAACTATGCCCTCATGCAATGAGGTGGCACTTGTTACTGTCATCATGTGTGTTGCCATATCAATAGGTTTGGTGTGTCGGGTCTAAAAGAGTCCTTTTGAGTGCTGTAAAAAGAGTGTTGGGGCTAGAGGTGCATCTATCTCCTGCCAGACTTGTATTTTGTAATTATTGGTTTATACTTGCTTATTTATTGTTGGTTAAATTATGTGGTTATTGGTTCAATTTTTGATAGAGGAGGAAAAACGTTTGCATGGTGTTGAACCCAATATCAACTAACTTTTGCTAATATAATTTTTCTTTGTAGCCTTGCTTCATTTATTACAAACGAAGAAATTCAAAGTGGTATTTTTGTATCCTCCTACGAGAAGGTATTGTTGTTCATAGTGCCATTGGAACATTAAAATTTTCATATATATTTGTAAGTCAATTGGAAACTCGCTCACTAGGAAGCACTGATCACCTTTTCATACATATTTGGAAATCAATTGGACACTATCTCACTAGGAAGCATAGACATTGATACGGATACGGACAAGGACACGGGACATGACAATTTCAAAAAAATTAGAACACAGACACGGTCACACGGCGAGGATACGACAAAAAAATATAATTGTTTTATATATATTTGTTTTCTATGTATGTAAATATTACATTCACAAACAACTAAAATGAATGAAAACCGACACTAATTTAACATATATGTATAAAAAAACAAAATGTAAATTATCTAGAGACTAGATATATTTTTGCGTTAGGCTCCAAAGATCATTAGAAGCCAGTTTCTCAATTTCGCACTTGTGGTTAGATCTGTATTGCGTTGTCAATAGTTTGGTATGAGTTCTTTATCTATGTTTTAAAATTCAACTCTCATGTTTCCAGCTTCCAAGCATTATAATATAACCCCCAAAATTAGCTTTAAAAAATTAAATTAAGACCTTGGTTGTCCCTGTTGTGTCTCCTGAAAATATTATTATAAAAATGGACACGTCATGTGGCATATCCCATATGTGTCCCCACCACGTCCATGTCCATGTCCCTGTCCCGTACATATCTAACACAGCTATTGCACCTATTTTGACGTGTCAGTGCTTCATAGCTAGCTCATATACTTGTATTTTCTTCTAGTGGGTAAGGTTCAACCTATTACCTTAAGGCCATGTTTGTTTGGGTGGACATGAGCTTGGGATTGGTCTAATAGTCCAATAAAATTATTAATCCGATGTTTGGTTAAACAATTGAAGTACGGACTAACAATCCATCCAGATATGGTATCCTATATATGATGGACTATTTAATCCCACATAGGGGGTGGGATATAAATTGAAAAACTAAGCCAAAGTTTGGACTATTAGTCCCTCCTTATAATCCTAATTCAATCTAAACATAGGATAGAATACATAATCCAAAGGGATTCGTAGTCCTGGGATTATTAGTCATGGGAATGCTAATCCAACCTAATCTAGTCCGCCCAAACAAACATGGCCTAAGTGTGCACACCTAATAGCAGTACGGAAAGTCGTTCTCTTGTCTATAGGTTTTGGATATAGCTTGTTAAAGCATGATCAATAATCACCAATCAGGTTAGTTTGCATTATGCAAAGACTACATACCCACTGATATTAGATCTGACTCTGACCTTGTGGAGTGTGTGAACCTCAAAGCCTTTTCAAATTGTTTTGATTGTATGGCTAGTACTACAGTCAAGTTTTCTATTCTCTTTATTTAAAGTATCCATAATTAACAAATCCGACCTCTAATTTCATGGGTCGGATGATTGGATCTACTCATGAATACATCCCTATATTGGATCTACTCATCATATATACCTAACAAGGTCGTGTAAAATTTGCAAAGAAAATATTTTTCCATTTTGGGACATCCTATGAATGAATTAGTAAAATAAAGATAAAGTAACCTCTACTAATTTGTCTATGACCTACTTATAATTGCAGTATTTGAGATATAACAGCAGAGGTTAGAGCTGCTATTGTTTGAGAAGCAGTTGCCAAAGAACTAGCAGAAGGGCGCTGTGATGTGGGACCTAGAGAGCTCAGGCAGATGTCAAAAGTATGGATAGTTCTCAACTTTCTTACAAGAAAAATGCATCTCTTTTTTATAAAAATAGCCATGACATGACACGCACAAGCACATCTGGACGAGAAAAAGAAGCTTTAATATTTGACAATGAAAGCAACCTCATATTTAACCTTTAAATGAACCAATTCAGAAATACTAATCTCAACTCAACTAAGCAAGTTAGTTATTCAATTATTCTCATTGTTAATCAGGGACAGCGCTAGGCTATAGAGTATGGGGTTAATTGACCCCATTTGCCAATTTTGAAAATTGGCTTAAAAAAATATTTAAATATTTATATTGTCTATTAGCAGCGATTACTTTGTTGGTTGCACCAACACATTTGTTTGTTGCAAACCCCAAAGGGTTGGCTTGGTGGCAAGGCCTTGGATTTTGAGAGTGTGCTCTCTCCAAGATTTAAGAATCAAAACCTCTTAAATAATGCTATATGCACCAATTGGTATACTAATTAGTGTACTAACTGATAATATTTCATAATTTGAGGCTTTAGATCGTTGTAATTTGTATAATGGGTGGGGTCGTAATTTTTAAATGGCAATGTCATAATTATGTTGGTACACTAATTAGTAGACCAATTGGTGCGTGTAACACCACCGAAATCTCTTAGGTGCTAACAATTCCTTAGGGCTTAGTGCACTTGCGGGAAACTCCTTGCCGAGTGCTTGTGCACTCCTGGGGATTAATCGAACTGTGATCCGGACACTCCAGTGCCAATAAAAAAATAAAAATAAAATACATTTGTTTGTTGCACCCATAGGTCGCACCACATACATTGGTGTGAGTCAATTGACACCACTAAAATTTGAAAAATCATTGAAAAAAATTATATATATATTTATATATATCATATATGGATAATATTGACCCTATTAACTTATAAAAAAAAGAAAAAAGAAAAAAAGAAGACCTTATTGCACTTAGCATAGAGTATCAGACCTTTAAAATTTTTCTAGGTCCTCTCTATATTTGTTCAAGTCCCAAAGATGACTAGATTTCTCTAAGTTCAAAAACGAATTCAGTGAGTCAACTCCACCAATCACCAAATACCCTTGAAATTTCTTCAACCAAAGTAAGGAAATTCATTGCGAGGAGACATTTTTTTTTTTTTTACAAAAAGATTAGTATGAATGCACTAAAATTTATAGAAAACAAATGTTATATATAATATTGATAAGAGTGAAAAAATTTCCTTATAGAATTTGTAGAACTTAATCATTGATTCCTGGAGCCGCCACTGTTGTTAATCATCTATGGCTTTTCTCATTTTGGATGCAGGAGGTGACGGTGGAATATGTCAAACCCAACATGTGGTTTCCAGTTTACAGCCCCCTCTTATTCATGAGAAATGAAGTTCCGATCATCTCTCTCTCTCTCTCTCTGTGCGCAGGCACGCGATATTTTTCTGCAGACACTATCCCAATGTTTTGCGGCCATTCAAATATTCATGATGTAACTGTGGTTTTAAAGCCTAGAGTAGTAATATGGGTGAAAAAACAGAACTGGGGAGAGAAGGGTGTAGAAGTTGAAAAATAATGCCACTGCAGTTTTGATTAAGCCCTTTTGTATAAATCTGCTTATTGATGTAATGAACAACATTGTGTAAACTCTCTCTTTTTCAGTTTTTTCAAAAACTTATTGATGTTTCATGTATGCCTCTTTTTTTTTAGTTAATTTGGTATTTCAACCTATATACATTTTGTGATGATTCAGAAAAAGAATAGAAAAGAGAGACTGAACTATTAATCATGTTATGGATTTGATGCTTCGTAGAGTTTTATTTATGTTATTTATTTATTTTTTTTGGGGGGAATGTTTGGGGGGGGGCTTGTAAATATTTTAAGGCAAGGAGTTTATACTTGTGCAGGACCTTAATAATTTGTAAATGTGAAAAAAGTTTGTTTAAGCTCAAGAGACTAGTTTTTCATTCCGAAATCTCACCTAAACTAGAGATAACAAATTCAATCTCTAAAGCTGTGAACCATTACATCAATTAAAGAATCAGTCTAAATTCGTTTCAACGTATATATAAATGAGTTTAAATGATTGATCTCTCC